CAAATCTCGATAACCATAGATTTTTCCGAAAAGCTGTATATCCGAAAGGATATTACAAATCTAATGCCAAGTAAGTTTTTTTTTTTAATTTGATCTCTTTCCTATTTCAGATGAGGACGATTGGAATCATTTTTTAGATGGTCATGTTCAGGATCAGGATCAAGCTGATTCACTGGAGGAACTGTTAGAATTCTTTGGTAAGCATGACATTGGAATTTTCATAATTAGTGTTTTTCAGATATGCAGCCGAAATCAAGAAAAAGGGTAAGAACATCACCACCCAAGACCATTCCAAAAAAAGCTAACAACATCTTGTACGTTGACGACGCACCCATACCAAAGAACGTGACCCACGGTCGACACTGAATCACTGTTCGGTACGGATTCTTCATACCTCTCAAACAAGGTGTTTCTGACCAATATGCCATGACTAACGATATTCCTCTACCTTTTTCCGATAGTATTAAACTTCCTCAACTTCCATAGTAGCTGAGTACCACCTTCGATTTGACTATAAATACATGGATAAGATTACAACATTTCAAACCTCCATTCGAAGTAGCAAAAATATAAATATACATATAATATAAACAAATGTTCAAACTCACATATCAAAAGTATTATAATAGTTTTGTACATTACAAGTTCAAACTGTAAAAACCGCTGGGAACGGTCATTTTTACCAAATAAATACATACAGTCGTGTGCATAAAAGTTCGTCAGGCATCGAAAAATGGGAATGGGGTTAGGGTTTGTCTCACGTAGCTTTTCATGTATTTCATCTGACGTGACAAACGGGTTGATGACAGCCTCCCTTCTGATCAGCCTATTTTCTCTCTCAGTCGTTTTTCTTGACCTCCGGCTGTTTCCCCAATATGCCATAACTAACGATATTCCTCAACCTTTTTTCAATAGTAACAAAATTCCTCAACATTCCATAGTCGTTGAGTAACATCTCCACCTTCAATTTGACTATGAATACATGGATAAGATTACAATATTTCGAACCTCCATTCGAAGTAGCACACATATATAAATATACATGTAATATACATAAATGTTCAAACTTACATATCAACAGTATTACAATAGTTTTGTACACAAGTTCAAACTATACCTTCTCTCTCAGTCGTTTTTCTTGGCCTCCAGTTGTTTTCAGGTCTTCTATATTTCCTTGGAACTCCCTTGGCCAGGATTGAAAAGTTGTTTGTGGAAGATTCAAAATCCTGCCAATGTCAGATTGGCTCCTTCCAGGAATGTGTTCACAAAACACCAGTTTTCTAAAATCCTCCGAATTGAAAACTTCTCGAGTTATACCTTAAATTGAAGAGCATAATTTCCTCTATCTTTTACAAAAACAATTATCGAAATTCATGCACACTGAAGAAAGTTATGAGCTGTTGAATGTAAGCCATATTTAGCAACCATTAAAACCTTCGTAACTTTCTTCAAAATCGATTTTTCGCTACAGGCGGTTTTGATCTACAAAGCCTGAAATGTTTTTTAAACCCCCCCCCTCCCATTTTTTGAATTTTTTTTTGCGTCGACCTATAGGGTGACGGAATTTCATGCGCACGACTGTATTTCCGTTCAGTCTCATAATGAGATATTCTAAAATTAGAAGCTTTAAAGGAACTGAAAATATTTTTTTTGTAAATTTGGACTACTTACGAGATTCACTATGGAAATTATGAACACTATGATATTTCGTTCCGTTCGTTATACATTTGTCTTTAGACATGGTGTTCATTACCATTCGTGTGATCGGCGAAAAGAAGGATGGAATCTATGAACATATCGAGTTTAATGAAGAAGTTTTTACTTACATAGTTGATAATAATTGATTTGATGATGATTTCAGATTTGTTAAGATAATTTGAAAAAGAAAATCGAGGCTATTACCCAAATTCCTCCTGAGTATCAAAAAGTTTTTTTTCCAAGATCAAGATATAACTTCTGCTCCTCATCCACTCGAATCATAAGTGATTATGAAGAACTTGTTGCCGTTAGTAAGTTCACATCATTGTACTCTATTAAATCACTGTTTTCAGAGCCATATATTGTTGATCAGTTGGCAGAATAACAAAAAAAGGATTGCAGATATCAGAGAAATTACCTCCTCTGGGCGCACAACGAGAAGGCGGAAGAGTGCGCTCAAGGCGCGTTCTGAACTATCGCCGCTTTCAGCCTCAAAATTTTTTTTGGTGTACCCTAGTTTCGCGCATCAAAAGTCTGAAATCGGCAAGAAGTTCAACTTTCTCATCCACAATACTAAAAAGTACTTCCGCCGCTCCGTTTTGGCCTACTTCAAGGCGCTATATCCGGCAAAAAAAGTGGAACTTAAGGACAAACCTAAAGAGCTCGCAGGCACCCAGGTATTTAATTATTGTTTACCTCCTTTTTTTCATGTATTTTCAGCTTGGTGTATTTGTTAACGTAGATGATGTCCCTTACTATTATGCCAAAACCCTTGGTAGCACATCTGGACCTGAAGAGGAGATAGATTCCATCAACTGCCCGAAAATAAATTTGTTGGAGATATTTGTTTACATTCTATTGAAATTAATTGGATTGGGGTCGAATGAAGTTCATGTCATACCCGATATGAATGATTCTCACCTCGTGTACATAGCAACCCGACGCCCCTCCTCCCTCCTCAGAAGTCCAGCAAAAAGAAGGCATTGATTCCATATGAGAATCGAAAATTGTAGATTTCGGAGTAAGTTTCATCATTTTCTGCATCTGTTAATATAAAACTCGTTGATTTCAGGTTAATATAGGCCAAAGTGGGCACCAGGTTGATTACTAATTCTAAACCTGATAATTCAGTTGATGACTTTCGCACGGCTTCTGGAGTATCTACTACTGAAATGTTGGAAAATGCTTCTTCTGAAAGTGAATTTTCAATTAGTTACACATGTAACAAATTATAATTCAGAAATCGGAAGAGTCTTGATCGATACTCACATGAGGCAACAGATGATGGTCCTTGCGCCCCTTCTATGCCTGAGTGATCTGCAAAGAAACAAAGGCAATTATGATGTCCAACTTACCACAGAAGTCCAGAAAACAGAAGGCATTTTTTCCATATGTGAATCGAAAATTGTAGATTTCGGAGTAAGTTTCCTGATTTTCTGCATCTGTTAATATAAAACTCGTTGTTTTCAGGTTAATATAGGCTAAATTAGGAATGAACCTGATGCCCCTGAAGAACTACAAGAACGGGAATAACCAACAATTCGATCGTTATTTCAAATGACCTGAAACAGCTCTGAAGAAATTCTTAAATAAATGATTTATCAACTTGATGTAAAAAATACAACAAAAACAAAACTGTTCCAGAGGTAATCATTAAGATTCCTCAGAAAAAGTATTTTCAATAGAAGCTTCAAAAATGGAAAATAAATCGATAGTTCACAGAAATCAGTTTCCTATTGCTATTAAGGAATCTGAAAATGAAAAGTACAAAAATAATCCAAACACACTATTAGAATTACTAAGCTCAAAGCTATAAAGGTTATTCACCAAATTGGAGTACTAAACAATTCAAAATTTTTGAAGTTCACATAGGAGATCTAATCATTTATTCTATTGAAGATATTGCTGATGAAGGAATCAATTGAAAGTTCTATGAAGAAGAACTCACACTGTACAATAATGTCAATAAAGAGAAGTAGAAAAGGAAATGGTAAGTCATTTGAAGAGATATTATATGTCAAGTGGTATCTTTAACACTCTCATATTAACTATTTCTGAATTCTTTTACATTGAATTCCTCAATGCCAAACTTCAAACATTCATATGGATATCTTTCTGAATTCAGTTTTACATAAACTAAGTTGAAAGGCTTCGGCTCAGCCTTCGAAGGCAAGGAGCGTTCCATTCCATGAAGTACGGCTAAATTAGCTAAAACAAAAAGTAAAAGCAAAAGTACCGCTAAATTTGCCAATCATGCTCTAGAAGATTTGAAAAACGTAAAATATAATTAAAACAAAAACTAGACAGTTTTATTCAGATTTTCAAGCATATGGAGAGTTTGAATACCTAGAGAACAAATCAAATGATCCGCTAAGACATGCAACTGAAGTAATGTTAGATATATTCAATGAACATTCTTCTCTTATCCCAATACTAATAAGATAAAATTCTAGAAGATATATTACAAACCAGCTGAATCATTTAGAAGACCAGGAGAACTCATTTTGATGGTTTTCAAGTCAAGTATAGCTCTAACGCAAGGACAACATTCTGAAAAAAAAATTGCAGCGCTTCAGACTTTGGTCCTGTGACAAAGTAATCTTGCATGAACACATCCTGCTATATAGCGAAAACTAATATTGAGGAAGAAGAACTAATAAATGAGATGCACGAAAAAGCTGATGTGAACCCATTCTGTTGCTGGCAAATAGTCAAGATGGTATAGATGGGATTCCTCATGAAATATTAGATGATGTTGATAGGTTAACTATATCCGCCAAACTCTTCTACATCTTCACAATCAGAAGTGTACTGATGATTGTTTCTCCTAAAACATTTATTAAATATGAAGGATTGTTTGATAATAGATAATTTCAAAATAGAAAATATACACAAGAAATTAACAAATTTGAACTTCAAGATTTCAATAAAACCATAGAAAATCTCCTGTTGTAGACTATATCATAAAATTTCAAAAATTTTGAGAAATAATATTTTTATCTTCAAACTTTTCATTCTATTAAATTATCAATACAACGAGATTCTTCAATTCTGGTATCACATCAAGCTTCGAAAGGAGTTTTACTATTATAGCTCCGTAAGAGAAAGAAAAATAGAATTAGTAGAAATCAAGTTTCCTAGATCAGATTATGATTGAAAGCATAAAAAATGGAAATAATATTACACGAATAAAAGAAAATAAAATAAATTGAAAATGTAAAGCTACACTTTGAAAAAATCTGAAAGATTGTGTCAAAAGAATGCAGCATTTCTTAGAGCTTTAAGTAAAAGGTTCTGGTTATTCAACCATATGTTCCCACAGAGAAGGGGTTGTCGCCGAAACATTTTATGAAGACCATCATCGCTGAAAAGAAATAAATTCTAAAATGTTCCATGTTTAATTAATATTCACACTGTACTGAAATCATCTCGAGTACATCTCCGTATTTCTCTGTTTCTCTGCCGTGATGCTGATTACCTCTTGCTATTCCCATCAATGCGCCATTACGAGCGTAGAAGACGCCTCCTGAATTGCTAATTTTTGTGATACTACTACTATTACTACCTCCGCTGAATAAAGGCAAACCACCGGAATCACCGTAAAAGTAGCCTTCACCCGTAGCACACAACGAAGACACCTGCCCCAGACGGTAGGACAGTTTTTTCTCTCCAAAGGCATAGCCCTGAAAAAAAATCATTATTAATTTGAATGGTGAAATTCTAAGGTATTTCACAAAGTTCACTTACAGCAACTACATATTTATCGAGTGATTCTGGGCATACCAAATATGGAGCTTCAAGGAACTCATCATCCACGTTCTTTAGCACAACGTAATCACATATCCTATTTATGCCATGAATAACAGTATGTAGTTGATTCATAGAGGAATCACATAGTATCACAGATGATCCAAGTTCAGCTTGTGGAAGACAATGTAATGTTGTAGCAGCATATTTTTTCGTTAACACTACTACAGAAATCCATTTATCATCATATTCAATATACGCGCAATATGATGTGATTTTGTTCAAGAGGGCTTCATTTGACGCTCTTCTAAACATCTAAAAATTTCTCATTGATAACTCAGAGACATCTCTGCTCTTCACTCTAACCTAACGCGTTCACGTGCCGCGTCGGGTGCTGCGTCGCGTGTGAGAAACTTGTTTGACTCCCAGCACCTACTAATCTTAATAGTTCGAAATTTGCAAGAGGTTTTGGATTTTTATCAAAATGGATCTAACGACCCTTATTTTTATTCATCTTCCATCAAATTTGAAATAGCTCACGTGCACCAGTAAACTGTTTGTCCGTGTATTGAATTGTTTGATTTTTTGCTTTATTTAGCTCAGAAAGTGAGAAGTAGGCTGAATGGTCTGCGCTATGTCCAGTCCAAAATTACTTTTTTTTTTGGAATTCACAGACTTTCGATTAGTGAAGCAAGGTTTTCAATGATTTTATTTGCTAAAATAATCAAAAATTGTAAAAAAGGACCAAATGGGCAAAATGAACGTCCAGCTTCACCTTAACGTATACTACCAGTTATAATATTTGTTTGAAGCCGAGTCTCCACTAGTCAGATCGTTCTCAGACCCTCCGCCCTCCTCTGGTAGAACGACGATGTCTTCACTTAGTTTCAGAATATTATATATATGTGTTTGCATATGACATATGATTCCATATATTTCCTATACTTTACTATATATCATCCAGATTAATATATTTCAGAAGTTATGCCGAAGAATCACAAAACATAATTGAAGCGAATAATGAATTTCCCATTCAATTCCTCAATCTCCAGATTATTAAGTAATTCTTAGGCTTTCGTACATGCCTAAGACTTAGCCTTACCAGCATAAACCTTATATTATGATGAAGCCAATGTGCAACGTTGATTGATTGCTTTCGTTGATAGACATCAGTATTTGGATTTTCGTTATGTTTTTTGGTACCGTATTTGAATATATGGTGGATGAAAGAGAAAGATTATTTGAAAGTCTAGCTACCACAGTTGCTGCTCAGGCAATTCGAGTCACAATATAGCCGCGTGATTACATGAATGATCGAAAAGGCAACCAACGACTATGTCTCGAATGCTACATCTGAGCGTATGGCTAAGAGGAAGAGAGTAAAGAAACATCTGTAAAGCATCCATTGATTATGAACGTGACAAAATTAGGTTGAACGCTCGAAACTTATTATTCAAGGAACTGTTCATTTGTACTCACTGCACCAGGAAACCTCATTAGCTCAACTTGATTCTCATCCTGCTCGGGTATCTAGAATTACTCTCTATCCACAACAATCAGGTCACAGTTATATCGTACACCTTTCCATTCGGATAGTAGAGACATATGGGATGAGTTAGAGTCAGAAGGCTAAGGCTTACAGACACGAGTCCAATGTAGAGTTCTCCTAGAGGAATTTCATCCTTGAGACCTCTATCCTTAACATCTTATATTTATCTGTGTTACTCTATGTGTTGATCATGCTTCCTTTGTAGTTGATACCTTGAACTCAGTGCTATGTATAAACCATGTATACTTAATATATTCTTATAATAAATATTCATATACACACACTGTCTAGTTACATTCCATTCCTCACCTACCGCTACACATAGTCGGTCGACAACCCTTCATAGGGGTGTCACCGACGGTGAGGTGTAACACCCCTCCTAAGAAGGAAGGGATTTCCATATAATGGAACGCACCAACCGGAGAAGAGGAGTTTAGTAGACATCGGGCAGACCGACAGACTACTCAGAGCCTAATCTGTCTGGAACCATAATTTGGTGGTTTAAATAGTCCGTTTTTGAATGGTTCTAGAAGATTACGAAATGAAGAACAGGTTTCCTATCAGTGGATGATTGTGGTTTTTATATAATTGTTGGACTGTTTTACACTTAAACTGTCTTATATTCCAATGATCATTTGTATCTTATGTAGCCTGATTCCGGATGGAACGCGGTGAATAAAAAAAATATATAATATAATATATAAAAACTGACCTCTTCTTTTCTTACAGATCCAAGCTTTACATCGAAAGATGTGGTCCATAGAAGATATTGCAACTGCAAAATGCACAGCTTGTTTCTCTTCATCTTTTTTGAAGGCTAATTGAGCAGCTGAAGGCTAAAAACATGATTGCAATAACTATTTAACCAAAAAAACTTACAGTGAAGGTTGTTTTTAACCTTTTTAATACATCAGAGATAACATAAGAAAGATCGCCAATGAAATTCGGATAAAAATAGGATGCATTTGTTTTTATGAATTCTCTAATGTTCATGCCTTAAAAACCTAAAATAAAGTGATATAATAACGATATAATGAAGAAAAATAAAAAAACGAAATAAAAACAAAAACAAAGAAAAAGAAACAACAACAAAAACAAACAAACGCAAAGAGGAAAAAGATGAGGTCGGTCAAAGGATACACGTCGATTTCAAGGTTTGTAGCACATCCGCTTAAGGTCCCAGATTTTTTTAAACTTATTTTTCATAATAGCTAAACTTAAAGGTCTGGGGTAGATCCTTTTTGGATGTAAAGTTTTTTCTGATACATATTATTTTAGGTACCGAAAAAATTCTTTCAGAAATTCTATAATTTCAATCATTTATTTCATTCTTTTTCTTCCGTACTTCTCTTTTCCTTGTTTGTACTATGGAAGAATTAGAAATTTTCTTCAAAAAATTATGAATTAAGAACATGGCTTCAGTTGTACATACGCAGTTCAGAGGTTGCTGGAAGAGGTTAGTTTTTTGTAAGATCCCGTTTTTTGTAAGATCCCGTTTTTTGTAAGATCCCGTTTTTTGTAAGATCCCGATTTTTTTATGATGCAAACTTTTCAGGCTTGTTTGCTGCTGATCATTTAAAAAAAATGATTATATCACAGCATATTATATTGACGAAGATGAGCCTAGTCCAGAGATGGATGATCATAATATCAGCTTTAGTGGAAGCAAAACCATTTATAATGGTTATACCAAGGCAATGGAATCTACCAATGTCCCGGGGAAGATGTTTTAAGGGAACATTATCAACCATGCTAATAATGGCCATGCAAATGCCAGACTGTATCTTTTAAAAAAAAATTATAGCTGTAAAAGCTACGAAAAAGATTGAAAAAGGACATCAGATATTATATAATTATTACGAGTACGTTCTTTACGATTTTTTTATTTATCAGCTGTCTCAGGTTCAAACATTTATATACATCATTTTACAGAGGTGGAGGACAAAATATTATTAAGAAAATATTTATAGAGAAACAATGAAATTCGAACGGTGACAGTTCAACACCCTGACGGAAAGAGTTACCTCAGATCTTCCAATCACCTCTACCCACTCGAACTTGCAGAGGATTTTTCCTTAAACATCAAGAATACCCTCCCCTCTCAATAACCACTTCCTCTTATCAAATTTAAACCTTTAGATGAGACAACCCCATGAAGACGAAGATAACGACCTCTTGATCTCTCAAACTGTTCCGTTAGGCCTGTCACCCACAAAAAAGGCCACCGTAGAAGAGATGCAACAATTTCTCCTTCCGAAAAATGAACTGGACCAAACTCGCAACACCTAGTCTGTCAAAATCCAAGACGACACCAAGTCAGTTACTGTTCCGTCGTCTTATGCAATTTTGCGTACGTATTACAACGCTCGAATTCATAGACAAATTCAACATCTTCACGAACGCGTTAGGGCTAGTTCTACCCGAACGCCTAGCCATTCTCCCACTGCTACTACGATGCAGCGTAGCCGACGAAGCATACAAGGCACTTCCAATAGACCTTCGAGAGACAGGT